TTGCAATATATATATATAAATAATTATTAATAGCATTCAATAAAATGTTCAATAACATGTCTTGCTGGTTGTATATCAATTGGATTTTGTTCCTCAAAATCTAACACTACAGCTTGTTCTTCGATTATATTTATAGCACCGTCAGGGACACCAGGATTTCTTACAACTGCCTAAAAAAACATTACAATATATATATATATAAATAATAATTAATAGCATTCAATAAAATGTTCAATAACATGTCTTACTGGTTGTATATCAATTGGATTTTGTTCCTCGATATCTAACCCTACAGCTGGTTCTTCGATTATATTTATTGCATTGTCAGGGACACCAGGATTTCTTACAACCGCCTAAAAACACATTACAATATATATAAATAAATATCAATAGCATTCAATAAAATGTCTTACTGGTTGTATATCAATTAGATTTTGTTCCTCGATATCTAACTCTACAGCTTGTTCTTCGATTATATTTATAGCATCGTCAGGAACATCAGGATTTCTTACAACTGCCTAAAAACACAATACAATATATAGAAACAAAAATTATTAATGTTCAATAAAATTTTTCAATAACATGTCTTACTGGTTGTATATCAATTGGATTTTGTTCCTCGATATCTAACCCTACAGCTTGTTCTTCGATTATATTTATAGCTTCGTTAGGAACACCAGGATTTCTGGCATTTCTAATTATTTCCTTCTCAGGATCCAAACCTAATGCTTTTTGGGCAAACGTAAAATGATGTATTTTTAATGGGGATCTAGGGTCTAAGTATTCATGGACTTCCCGTATCGATCTTAGCTTCTTTCTATCCGGCGCATAGTAATAGATATCAATTCTAGGTTTTTTTTTCCTATGGACTACTTCGCGTTTCCAACCTAAAGAATAATAACTTATAATTGTAAAACTATGTTTGAGTTGGGCAAATGTAGTGCAGAGACATAAGATCTCGAAACACACGCTTTTACAATGTCTGTTCAGCACTAATATATAACCAGTGGTTAAATTTGTGTTTAAACATGATTTCACATTCAGCACAATTCAACAAATAATAGTACATTAGTATTAATGAAAACCGAAACTAAAAATTAAAAGTATATAATAAAAATAGTTGGATGAGAATGTGACGAGATCGTTAAAAATCAAAATATAAAAACTATAAACAATAAAATACACATACCTAAATCAAACGGCATGTCGTAAATTGGATCCATTTATGTTGTTTAATAGCAAAAACCACTTTGTTTCGTAGGCGTATATGAGAATGTTAATTCTTCAAATATAAAACTGTAAAATTCAATTTACATATAAATATCAGTTTTTTTTCACAAAATGTTTATTTACATTTGAGTATAAGAGAAAGTGTTGTTATCTATATTCTTATTGATAATAATATTGTTCGTACCTATAACCTCAAAATATATATTATGACTATTTTTCTTTTGTTAAAATATTAAAACTACTTTTGTTNTTAACTTGTCTCCTTTTATATGAACTCAGTTCAATTATATAAGTTCATATCAAATTGTCACGTCATAGGGAATTTTAATAGATCACCTATATATAAATTATTAATTATTCGATTAGGTAATAGGAAAAAAATATTACCATATGATATTGAAAAAATGTCTGTTAAAGTGGGTGACACCCATTTGCAATAGTAAATCAAATGAATCTACACCTCATTCAGATGAATATAACCACAGCTTTTCTCAATGGTATTTTCGAGGAAAAGCTTTACGTGAAACAACCTGATGGTTTTGACTAAGAAAATGGTTTGGTTTGCAAACTACATAAATCACTCTTGAGTCTTAATCAATCTTCAAATTGTTGAAATAACGTTTTAATAATTACGTATTATTGCATGAAGATAATCACCATTGCATCGGAATAGCTAATGAATCAAAGAAACATAAACGATTGAAAAATCTGGATACCGAATATAATTTTATTCCTTAAGCAATCCCAACAAATCAAATTAAAATAGCATATGTTCAAACAGATCATCAACTGGCAGATATTTTAACAAAACTACTACCTGCCATTCCATTTTCAAAATTAAGAAAAGCGTTGGATTAGAATAATAATAAATTTTATTTTAATATGTTTATATATTTTTTTTTGCATTTGAGTATAAGAGAAAGTGTTGTTATCTATATTCTTATTGATAATAATATTATTCGTACCTATAACCTCAAAATATATATTATGACTATTTTTCTTTTGTTAAAATATTAAAACTACTTTTGTTGCAGAATCATGCATGTTTGTCGTATTTCTTTGTGAATTTTTCTCTCAGTTAATTTATGTGTTTTATAGTTATCCTACAACAAATACGAAAGTTTAAATTATTAAAGAAGTTTGAATTCTTATAATCTACTCATACAAATGCTTAAACTATTACTATTTACTAAATATATTTAAATTGATGGTACAAATTCGGTGCAGCATTAAAATGCCGCTCGCCGTACCACTACACAAAATTCGATTATCAACAACTCTCCCTCCAACCGAATCTTATTGACCGTCGTTTTATTTTAACATTAATTTTGGAAACAAGATTGTCAATAATGTACCAATTGAAATTTAAAATAATAATAAAATACTCTACTATAACAATGTTAATATAGTATCGGTATCTAAGTAGGTACTATCTCAAACATCCCATTACAATTAATTTACAATTATTTTATCATCAAAAATTAAATTAATACTATACTATGCATTAATATTATTATGTTTAACTACATGTAATATTATTTATCACTGATCAAACATCCGACTAGTCCTGAGTAAACATTAGTCATGAATCATTAGAAATAAAATTAATGTTTTCTATTTTTATATTTAAATAAATCTGTCATAACAAATTGTCGCGTCATAGTAAATTTATTAAAACACCTTTCAAATAAATAATTAACTATTCGATTAGGCATTTACAAAATATTTAGGTATGTAGTAGAAAAAATATTACCATATGATATTAAAAAAATTTCTGTTAAAATGGGTGGCATAAAAAACAAAATTACGTAAACGACATACCTACGATATTATAAAGTTCCTAATCAAAAAGAGTAAAGACAAAAAATGATACTTATTATTAATTAAAAACGCATCGAAGAAAAATAATAGGTTCAACATGCTATTCGATTAGGCATTTACAAAATATTTAGTTGTGTAATAGAAAAAATATTACCATATGATATTAAAAAAATGTCTGTTAAAATGGGTGGCATAAAAAAAGAATTACGTAAACGACATACCTACGATATTATAATGTTCCTAATCAAAAAGAGAAAAGACAATAAATGATACCTATTGTTAATTAAAAACGCATCGAAGAGAAATAATAGGTTCAACATGCATTGCTAAATTTAAAGTTCTATTATTTATAACTACATAATATTTAAGTAAATAGTAAAATACTATAAAATATTCCCGATTTACCTACGATTAATGTAGCAATAAACTATGTAGCAACAATGTATAAACTAATTACTTACCGATCGTTCGACCTCCCGAGATTTTGGCTTGATGAAGACAGGCGGTAAACCGATGACGACTTCCAGTGCGTTAGATAAATGTCGAAATGAACGTTCCGCGACCGAGAACTCTGCGTCCTCTATATTCCGTATCGATCCGTAGAATTCCCCTCCGCGATTACCACGCAGAATCCCCTCGTCTGGTTGGCCTGACGAAACACGCCCATCTACGCTCAGAGTAGTTTGGAGAATGAGTCGAGAATAGTATGGTGCAACGAAGATAGAAACATTACAATATAAATAGAACCTTCTCGATTTATCGTCACGATGGCCGGGTTAGTAATACATGGTGTTCAAGAGAGAGGGGCGAAAATAAAGACAAGCAAACACTACCCCTTAGCATTTATATATATGTAGTATTTATATCTTATGTAAAGAATTCTCGTGTTACGTGTTTGTGGTCGCACACCTCCGAAACGGCGTGACCGGTTTTTATTAAATTTTTTTGTATCTTTAAGAGCTATGAGAATAGGTCGTAAAGTATTTTTCATCCTCCTAACTCCACAACAATTTTTAAACGTGATTTTAAACCTTCTAAATATGATGTCGACCATAAAGAGGGTTAATCGGCAAAAACGTCATAAAAAATAACAACAATGAAAAACGTCAAATGTATTTATTTGAAAAGTACAAATATAAGTGGCTAATTTGAGGCCGCTGGCCCCAGATCAAATAACTTCTATCTTATGACTATACTATATTCGAAAGGTGTGCCATAGATTTCTTTTTTGGAGGGGTATAAATATATGAATAGTTTAATATTTAAATAGTAATAGTATTTGTATTTACGCGTTATTGTTATGTACGCGAAATCTGATGGCACGTTCGCTTGTGCACGATTTTTTCATTCTTCCTCACGCGATAACCTTAGTATTTATATTATTTTTTGCACCCTCAGTTTTGATATTATAGTCACGATGATAAAATTGTTAGACTTAATAGAAATGTTTGCATACATATATCAGTAGGTTCATTAAAAGTTTTACATTGTTGTCAAAAAAAAAAATTGAATATAGCATTTTTTTCTATAAAGCAATTTGAATATTAAATTTTGTTGAAAATCATACAAGTAAAATATTATATGGAACAAATTTAATTTTTCAATTTTTGTATTGAACATGCTATGATACTACGATGGTGAAGTAATAATTGAGTGGACTGACATAGTTTCTAAATAATTGCATTTTTATGTATTGATATTAGGCGGATATTGTGTGTAATGTTAAACGATTCTATATTGTCAATTTAAAATTATGTCTGTTGTAATCTAGTGGTGCTACCTACTTTTTGTAATACTAGAGATCGCGGGTTTAAACGGGTGTTCCGAAAATAAAAAATGTTTGCATTTGTCTCTTGACATAAAACTAAGTGAGGTAGTCTAAAGGTCATTTAATTCAAATTTATATCAACAACACTTTTGGTTATTTAAAGTCATTATAAAATAAACATTTTTTGTTAGCCGTGTTTGTTATTGGATAATATTAAGTCTGTTTGGAATATTGATAGCCGTCGGGTATACTGTACGTAACAAGAATATAATTATTGTAANACCATATAATATTAAAAAAATGTCTGTTAAAATGGGTGGCAAAAAAAAAAAAATTACGTAAACGACATACCTACGATATTATAAAGTTCCTAATCAAAAGGAGAAAAGACCAAACATGATACCTATTGTTAATTAAAAACGCATCGAAGAAAAATAATAGGTTCAACATGCATTGCTAAATTTAAAGTTCTATTATCTATAACTACAAAATATTTAAGTAAATAGTAAAATAATAGAAAATATTCCCGATTTACCTACGATTATTGTAGCAATAATCTATGTAGCAACAATGTATAAACTAATTTCTTACTGATCGTTCGACCTCTCGAAATTTTGGCTTGATGATGACAGGCGGTAAACCGATGACAACTTCCAGTGCGATAGAATGTCGAAATGAATGTTCCGCGACCGAGAACACTGCATACTCTATATTCCGTATCGATCCGTAGAATTCCCCTCCGCGATTACCTCGCAGAATCCCCTCGTCTGGTTGGCCTGATGAGACACGCCCATCTACGCTCAGAGTGGTTTGGAGAATGAGTCGAGAATAGTGTAGTGCGACGAAGATAGAAACATTACAATATAAATAAAACCTTCTCGGTTAGTCGTCATGACGGCCGGGGTAGTTATACATAGTGTTCAAGAGAGAGGGGTGAAAATAAAGACAAGCATCCACTACCTATATAAATGCTTAACATTAAAACGGAGGAGAAATTCGATTATATATTATAGCGACGGAGGTCTGCTGTTCACGGGTGATTCGTTTTCCTTTTTTTTTCTATATAATCGTTATATTATCAGTTATCTTTGACGCGCCGCCGTTTACCTGAATTCTCAGTATTATATTATTAAAAGAATACGTGTGTTTAGTCGCATTGTCGGTGATGCGATCCTTCCTCCCCTATGCTAGCAGATGCCGCAAAAACGTACTAGGAATAAACTGTGTGTGGTCTCTATACAGATTTTAAGAATCCCGGCTTTCGACCAACCGAAGGCCAAAACGTGTTTTTTTTCTTTTTCGGGAGATAAAAATGTATAAACCATGTGCAGGTATTTTAACACCATTAGTATTTATCTGATACAATGTATACGCATGTGTTATTTTTTTTCTACGCGACCGGCC